ACTATAAATAATGTGTCTTGTATTGTCTTGTTTTTCTTGTCAAACCCTAACTACAATGCTATCTTTGAAGTTATAATACCATATTTTGATGATAAAACAGTGTTCTCTGGGACTATCTAGAATCTACTTACAATCCTACAGTAGAACCAAGTTAGAAGCCAATTACTAGAAGGACTTTGTTTACATGTAGTGAAGTCTTCCCTAACTCCACAACCAGATAGCCCTACAGAAACAATCATCATTATCTCTGAGGATTTGCTAAATTACACAGGATATCCTCAGACTTTGGTCATTGTGAAAGTAACCTAAGAGTTGATGAAAATGCAAATAACTGGGTGAATTCCAGAAAATCAAAATCTTGCTTGGTATCTCTCAACTGGAGTTTCTCCAAGACTTCAAGATAATTACAATGCACGATTAGCAGAGAAGTGCTGACTTACATAAGCATTAGTAATGCTTACACTATTTTGTTATTATTTGTTTGCAAAACCTTAATTCCAACTAACCTAACGATATTTTAGACCTACCTTGTATGTAAGTGTGTAGCATTTAGACTTCAGATTTGTACCAAGAAAGCAGAATGTGTCAACAATGAGTAAATGTGGTAATTATTCTTCTGTTTGGGAAGCAACAAGGGAGGGTGCTGTCAGAAGGGAGGTACTGTGGTGCTTTGGAGGACCTGACCTGGCATAAAATGATCTGAGATATATTCTATGACTTAAGATACGAGAAGTAAGAAAGTGAAAAGAAAGTGCTGTCACAACTCAGAGAAAAAAGAAACCACTTTTAGGCTAGACTGGGTTACTAAGATTAAGATTTAGGGTAGAATGTCAGACATAGTATGCATATCTACCAAGTTCCAACAATGAGTGTATTTATTATACATCACAAATACATACACATAAAAAGGAGGTATAAATGTAGAAAAAGGCATCTTACGTCTAGAAAGAGGAATGTGAGATCTAGAGAATACCGAGTAGAGAGAGAGAATGGTGAAAGGAGAACAGAGAGAAGGTACGCTATATCTAAAAAACAAGTAACCACTTCGTTTAAGTAAAAAATAGTACAAAATATTTGTGTGGAAAATTACACAAGACACCACTGTTTAGATGGGAACCTAAGCGACTTGCTATTATTTAGTGGATAACATAAAGGCAGTAATATGAAGCAATCAAATATCTAGAAAGATTAGTGATAGCCATGTGTGAAAAAGAATGTAAGGATCATCATGTTTTTCATATCATTGATTAAAATCACAATAAAGGTCCAACATTACAAAGTTAAAATATCATTTTTCTAGGTTCAAAGAGGCAAAGTTCAACATCAGGATTATTTATTAGCGTTTTCATTGTAAGTATAGAAAAGGCAGAATTTGAATTTGTCCATGTAGGGATTGAACCACCAAGTAATGCAGGAGTCTTTTTTTTTTTTTTTTTTTTTTTTTCTAATTTCATCAGTGAGTAAGAAAATCTGATGGATAAAATAATAACCACTTCTGGGCAGAAGCTTAGCCAAAATCCTACTTCCTAAGGCAGAAGAACACCTGCCATGTTTCCTGAAACCTTTACTGTTTAAAATACTCCTTTAGGAATAAGGTAGTAAGAGTTGAGTTTCTTGGATTAAAAAAAAAAATCTTTATTTATAGAGAATCTTAAAGTCTTCGGCATCTGTTGCTGACTTCCACAGAGTTATTATGAGACTCGCATTTCCCCATTGTGATTCCTCCTTATGTCACCCTGTGGGCAGAACTTTCATCATAGAGATTGCCACCAAGTATGAGAGATGTACAGTGACATTTGTGTCTCCTTCATAGGAAAAAGTTAGTGCAGTTATGCACATACACATTACTTCTCCTACTAGCCAACTGTTCAAGCATTTTGCTCCGTCTAAGTATCTAAACTTAGACATTTTAAGCAATTCTTGTAGGCCTTGAAAAGAAATGTAAATTAATGCAGGCATTGTGGGAACAGCATGGATATTCCTCAAAAACCAGAAATATAGCTAATATATAATCCAACAACATGTACTCAAAGGAAAGAAATCAGTACATTGAAGAAATATCTCACTGTAGTATTTATTACAATGTTACAGCGCCAAGATGTGGAGCCATCCTAGCCACCAGGTAAAGGAATTTTGCACATGACAACAAATAAACAAACATTGTTATTACATTAAAAAGTTGAAAGCTTGTCAGTGATAGCAAGGAATGAAAGTGGAGGACACCCTGTTAAGTGAGATGTTAGGCACAGCATGAAATTTACTACGTAGCCTCATTTATCTGTGGAAACTAAAAGAATTGATAGCTAGAAGAAGTAGAGAGAGGAAAGGTGACCAGAGACTAGGGACTTTGGGAGAAGGAGCGGCAGAGAGAGCATGGTTGACAACTACAGAGGTGAAGCTGGGTAGGAAGAAAAGAGTCCAATATTTTGCAGCACAGCAAGGTAACTGGGATTGGTCACACTTAATCGTGTATCTCAAAACAGCAGATACAGAGACCTTCAAATGTTCTCTAAAGAAATGAAATATGCAATGCACACAGCAATTATCTTGAGAGTGCACACGGTATTTGTTAAGATCACACTGTACTCCACAAATATGTGTAATTATTATGTGTCAATTATATTTAAAACATTTTTCTCTTACAGAATGTGCATCAGAACCACTCTACTGAAAGAGTTCTGAAAATATAAAGATGTTCTTTAAAACTTTAGCTCTATTAATATATTCTTCAACCAATGGAAAGATCTGGAATGACCACAAAATAAACATTTCTCCAACTAAGGACACCAATTTTTTTGAAGGGGAGCTTGCCAGAAATAAAGATGCCTTTTTCATAAAAACAAAAAGACTCCTTCAGAGTGTGTTCCAGTTCCACAGAGCGTGTCACAGAGTGACAGCGTAGAGTGTTCCTGGGGCGCTGCAGCCCCTCTGCCTGCCCTGCTGGGGGCTGCCCCACCGCGGCTGCTCCATCAGCTCTCCATGCATCTAACACATTTTAACTGCTAGTCAATCAAAAGTGCCGTCACGGCTTCTTTTGTAAGTCTGTCCTTAAAAGCCAGAGTAGTATTTATTGGCCATTCTAATTCTGTAAGGCTTTACTTATGTTTTAATTTTCTTGTTCAGCGTCTCACATTCTCTTGTACTTCAGTTCAATATTTTACAAAGACTATGCTAGTGACATTATTGATTAGACAAACAGTGGATTTAAAAGGACGAAGAACAGCCAACATTTTAAAATTAAGAAAAAGAACACTAGGCGTTCTCTGACACTGACTTCACTGCTGTCTAATGAATATACCACTTTCCTTTTCTATCTCCCTATCTGCTCCTCTGTCCTCCTTGCCTACCGTTTCCTATAAACTACGGTTTTATTTTTCTCATCTATTTCTATGTATCCTTTCATTTTTCTATTAAGAGTTCAGATTTTATTTCACTCACTAACTCTGATTTAAACAGCACATGCAACTGGAGTATGTTTAAACAGCAATATTAAATGTATCGTTTATTGTGATATCATAAAAGAAAGAGCAATGTCTTTAACAATGTATTTTAATAATTTTAACTATTATTTATTATAACAAACCTTATATAATATTGGAGTCAGAAACCAGGAATTTACCAAATGAGTAGAGTAGGATTGAAACCCCATTATGAGCACCAGGGTCAGAGTGGGCATAATTAATACTAATGATACATGGCCAAACTACACATCTGCTCAATTCAACTTCTGGGTGCTATGTTCATGTGTATTGACGTCCATGAAGTCCATTGACGTCCCAACACATGTGTTGTGAATGCTGAGTAAGTTTCAGGGACAGGACTCAGTGCTAGTCACAATGGTGTCCTCAGCGGAAACTGTCAAATGTGAAACAATCCTGATTTCCATTATCCATGTGATATTATTCACAATAGGCATAACACTAAAACCACCTAAATGCCCATCCACAAGTGAATGGACAACGAAAACATTGTATAGGTGTGAATGATGATTTTCCAACCAAAACATAAGAAAATCCTATCATATGCAACAACACAGAAGAACTTGACAGGTATTATATAATCCACTCACAAAGGACAAAAACTGTATTTCTCCACTGACATCACATATCTAAAATAGTTCCACAGAATCAGAGTGGAACAGCACTTGCTGGGGGTCAGGAAATGGGTACTTACCATTCAATAAATTTAAAAACTCAGTTGCAAAGAGGAATGAGTTCTACAGATTTGCTACGCATCTTTGAGATTAAAATAATTCTATATTGCACATTAAATTTGACAAGAAGGTAGATATCACATTAATTATTCTCACCACAATAACAAAAGAAATATTTGAAATGTGTTTACAAAATATTTGTAAAAAAGAAGAAATATTTTAACCATGATGGAATAACTAGTTTTTTTTTAAATTTAAAACAAAACAAAACAAAAAAGAATAGAAGCAATACAGAATTTCAAGAAAATAGTAGGAAATTAACAGTAGTTAGTATATTGCACATTATTATCTTAGAAGTAGATGTTCAGATTACAAGAGTTAAGCATGAAAAAAAAGAGCACACAAACAATGAAAACAAAAACTGTTCTTTTTGATGAACTTACAGAGAGATTCTTAGTATACTCATTATTTGCTTTTTTATTTATTTATTTATTTATTTATTTATTTATTTATTTATTTATTGAGTAAGGGTCTCACTCTGTAGTACAGGCTGGCCTTGAACTCACTATGTATCCCAGGCTGGCCTCAAACTCACAGTGATCCTCCTGCCTCAGCCTCTGGAGGGCTAGGGTAACAGGTATGCACAGCCATTCCTGGCAATAATTTATATTTTATCCATATAATTTTGTACTTGACTTGAAGGAACACTTCAACATCTCTAACTATCTTAAAGAAGTCTGAGTATTTCCTTTCTAAAGTTGATACGGTTTTTATATTCACAAAAGCATATCTTAAATTAACATAGACATCCATAATTTTCCTGAATAATATGTGATATTATTTTTACCTGTGTATTCAAGATGAAAGCCTGCAGCAGAAACACTGATGTCAGATTGAAAATTTAAATATAAATTGTTAGAGGTACTGTTCAATAGATGGGGTATTGTTGTCCCTGAAATGATAATTGAGAAGGGAGATAAATGACCACGTAACCCTAAGTAAATAAACAATTAGTCAGCTGACAGGTTACCACTGAAATAATGTATTAGTCAATATGTTTCACAAGGATTTTTTAATAAAAATGTTTCTTCCGTAATCCTTTTTCATTTTGTCATTCCTGTCTAAGGAGATTGACCCTTGAGGTGACTTTAGATAGTTCCCTAAAAACAAGTAAGAATAAAAAGGATTGGTAAAACTCAATTTGTCACCTAAAATAAATGTTTTGAATTTCAGGTAGATTTCAATATTTCATGCATGAGCTAGTAAGAACCTAATTTTAAAATCAGAATTTGACTTTTAAGGCATACTAATTTAAGACTTTTATGGATTTGGAGTATATCTGGAGTTTAAGTTTTTATTAAGAAATATATATATATATATATATATATATATATATATATATATATCTCCACTCTGACAGCAAAGCTGGTAGTTAGCTTAAAAAACATTCAGTTTTGAACTAATGTTAGCTTTGTCACTCATCAGTGCATTATATTGGAATTTTATTGAACTTGTGAAGCAGATCAACTTTATTTCATCCAACTATTATTTTGAAAATATAAAATATTTGCTTGAACAAATTCCTTTATAACTACAATACAAGAACTTTCAGGCTCCAACCCAAGCAGTTTCAAATGAGAAGCATAAAAATGATTGTTAATGCTACTCTTTAAAGTTCAGTAAACATATGTGTAGATGGTTTTGTAACTATCTTGAGGTAAGTAAGTAGCAATTTCTCACTTGCTTTGTATTATTTGTTGACCTTCCCCCACCTTGGACTGCTAGGACAGAAGAGGAAAACTTCATTAAGGATGCACAGTTTTTCTGGCTGTGTTCTTGCTTTCTCCCTTCCTATGGGCTCTTTTGTGTCCTAACTGTAATCACTATAGACAGTGGTAAACACCAACTCAAAGCACTCACTTGTCTCTCAGTAGCTCTCAGTGATTGAGAGCTGTGGCTCTGGGATCACACTAGCTGGGTCCCTAAGCACTCTACTGTTAGCTCTACTTAAATTTTCTAAGCTTCAGTCACTCTCAGGACTGCGGGAAACTTATGACAAGACTCTGCAGAGCTTGCACTTGGAAACCAATAGCTGTTCGTTTTTTTCTTACATCATTTTTATCACTCTTGCATGTATTATTAAGAAAAAAAATTACACTAATCTCAGAATAAAACGTACTGAAATTTTAATGAGATTTTTTTTCTTCTATTTGAGTCTATGTATTTGGATCTTTATCTATATTTTTATTTTTGTTCTCCTAAGCCCAATCATTCTTGCTCTTAGATATTACATATCTTTCCTTTAGTCATGATTCCTTTAGAATGATGTGTAAACAAATTATTCTGAAATCTCTTAAAAACTCAAAATCAGTTGAGCTCACTGCTAAAATGTATGAATTAACATTTAGTTTCTGTTTCTAGAGTTTCAAATGTATAAAAGTAAAAATTAACAATCTAAACTCTTCAATATCTTTATGTGAGTTATATTATTGCACAAATTATCTTTAAAACCTTAACAAATCTAACAATAGCTCTTTAAAAATCAGTTAACATCTTACATAGCAAATCAGACTATTTTACATTGTTTTTTCTTGATATTGTTATATACACATAATAACTTTGTAAAATATTATTCATGTCCTGGAAACACTTTATATTTTCTTCAACCTTATTTAGTACAACTTTGTAGTACTTATGTTACATAGTCTCATAATTGTTTCATGATGGCATTGCATTCTATTGATATTAATAAGTCATAATTACCAATTCCAAAGTAACTGTTAGTGTTTACTCTTTTTCTTTTCAAGGAAGAGACACATACTGCTCATGAACCACACCTCAGTGAAAATACCACACATATATAATAGGAATATTACAAGGTTTTAACAGCCATTTTAAAACTATATTTAAAAGATATTCAAATTTCCAAACTAGTAATTTACTTCACTGTGTACAGTTTATAAAATATAAAATGTAAACCTTTTGCAGAGTTCTTTAAAATATATATTTTTATATTCCTCATTATATCTGCATTTTAATTAAGCTAAATCTTTTCTTTACCTGAATAACTTCCAAGTCTTGGAGCATTGTTGTCTCCCCCGTCGTAAAAGTCCAGGGAATCCCAGTTATGTTCTGTGGCAAAGCTAACAACTTGCACCTGTGAAATAACAATTGCTGATAAAAATACTCAGTGCTAACCAGATACATGTACTTCAGTCTGCCAGTTCCCTGTAGGACAGAGATCTCCACTGCGGGACCACATCATTGTGACCCTTGCTTGAAGAACTGAGCTTATGGTTATTGGTGATGGCCTATACGACCTGATTGTCATAAGAAAAGCCTTACAGTGAATCCAGCTGTGTTTATTATGAGTGTAACACGGAGAGTATCTGCCACAGTGTGTTCTCTTCATTAAAAGCCTTGGGTTAATCTAGTGCCTTGTGGTTAAGAATACTAGTGTGATTGCCAAATAACTATTTACCTTTTATTTTTCTGACTGACATTTTCTCACTTGCTTTAGCAACCAGAAAACAATCAGCACGTTAGCTAGATTCTTTCCTGTATTCCTTTCCTTGCATAGACTGTTTCATTTCTCCACTTCCTTTTAATGTTTAACATTATTATCACCTATTCTCATGTTCAACTGGTCTCAACACAGAAAACCAAAAACAGATTTGAGTACAACGTTCAAAGATGATTTGCGCAAATGAAGTCATAATAAATTATATCCCATGAAGATCCATAAAATTTAGAAGGAAAATGCTGGGGCTTAATTCTTTCACATCTTTTAAATTTTCTGTGAAGGAAGAGACATGTGTCACTTTGTGCACATCACTTGGCACAGCTGGAGTCTTTCAAGGAACCCACGGGACCCACACAAATGTGGGTACCATCTACTCAGCTCTTTGTTCATTAAATACTTTGTAGTTTTGAAAGAAACAAAGGAATAACCTTACTAAGTTTCATTTACTTTATGTAGGTAAATTCTGTCATAAATACAGACACTATCCTCATTTACTACCTAAGTGTAACAATTTGATTCATGAAATGTACCTCGTGTGCAAAGCAGTCCACTGTCACTCTTCCATTCAAGTGAACCCTGGCACTGTCTTCAGGGGTGAGTGCCACATGGCATCAGATATCCTGCCTGCCTGCCTGGCTTAGACCTGATGGCTCTGCTCCAGGACAGGAGGAAAACTAAAATTAAAGCTGTATGTTTGTAATAATATCACCACTTCCTTCTATAATGAACAATTCTTTCTTCATATATAAATTTTTTTAAGATTCTGCCACTAAGCAAAATGGAAAGATTCAAGCAGGACTTGACAGTTGAATTTAAAGTATTAAGAGGTTTTCCACTGAAGGAAATTATTGAGTGTGTGGATGAGAAAAATCATGAGCTGGATTTAGTGAGACATTAGCAATCCAATTTAGCCACAGAGGAAGGTATTTACATATGAGAAAAATATAAATGCAAAGTTAGAAAAAGCAGAGAAAGCTAGAAAGAATAATAGAGCTTAAATGATAAATACAAGACACTGCAGGAGAAGAAAATGCCCAGATTTGCAACTTCCTGGCTCCCTCTACTTGCTGGCAACAGCTTTATCCTAGGAAAGCTGTTAATCTTTCTGTGCCTCAGATTATTTACATTAATCATTGTAATTAAGGTATCTAATTTATGGATTCATTGTAAAAATTAAATTACTTAATATGTATAAAAGTCTTAGAACAGTGTCTAGTGTATATCCAGGACTCAGTGAATCTTGGCAAAAGAGATTGAGCAAACATTCATTGAAGACTGAATATCAGCAAAATAATAATGTACTTGAAGCTACAATTATCCTGTCAGTGTTGCACTAAAGATTTTAGAAGTGGAAGGAGAAACCAGATCAAGACTATACTTCAAGTACAGCACTGCATTTCGTAAAGGCAAGCAAAGGGAAAACACTTCAGTGCCTCCTGCAGTGATATTTTAATGTCTATTGTACTGAGAAGCAGTGGAATACCAAGCGTAAATCTGAGGGAAGAAGAGGAGGGATGAAGATCAAGGTGGTATATGTGGTGCTGTTGTGGAAGTTTCTGGATTTTGTGGGATGTGAACAGGAAAGCGAGAGGTAACAGTGAAACATAATTTTTTCCTCTAAATTACTGAAATCACAGAAGTGGCAAGAATCAAACATAGATAACTCCACAAAAACCTACAATTCTGGATATATTGAGTAGAAGGTTGAACAATGGCGCCCCCAAATATCAGCACATAATACCTAGAACCTGTAAATACACTTCATGTGGAACAAAAGTCTCTTAGAAGTGATTAATTTGAAGATCTTGAAATAAACAGATGCAGCCAAAAACAAAAGAGAAGACTATATGACCACAGAGGTAGAAACTGCAGTGACGTGGCCAGAAATGAGTACTATGGGAAGCAATTCCATGTTGCAAAGGCAAGGAAGGAATTACACAGAACCTGAAGTGGTGGAAAATCCATCAGCATCTTGACTTTAATGCCCAAAAGCTGGTTGGGAATTTTGACTTTTGCTGCTGTGACAGAATCATTTTCTTTTGTAGCTATCAATTCATAGTAATTTTTTATAAAACTCAAGGAATCAAATACAAGTTGCCACAAAAATTCTGGGAAAATAATTTGTAGGACAAAATCATAGAATGTACAAAAGCATATGACCAGAATGAATAGGAAATGATGCTGTGAAACCTGTTAAGTGATGTAAATAAATAATCAAAAACCTGCTACAATGGAAATCAAATAAGAACCAAGCAAAGAATTAAAGAGTCAGCTACTGGTTCAGCAGAACTTCACATTAGATATAGCTGTCTACAACTGCAATATGCTACATTTATGAGTTAATAATTTTCCAGTCATGAAAGCGAGGTATATCCTACTGATATTCAAATCTCATTTTACTTTGTTTGAAAATTATCTAAACTTCCGATGACAATGCTATACATTCACACAGTTACATGCCCAACATTGTTTTTCTTGATTTCTCATCTAAAAATTCTTTTCTGGATAACTAATATTGTTAGTGTTCAATGTAGTACCTTTTGGAATTCTATCTGTATAGAATAGAATAGAATCTGCTAAAATAAAGAAATAAAAAACTTAGTTCACTCCTACCCATAAATTTATCATGTGATATTAAAATAACATATTGGTGTATTTCCTGATCTTGTTTCCAAAGAACGTCCGGTCATTTTAAATTGTTTCAGTATTTCAGGATTTTAAATTGTTCTCTTTTTTCCACCAATGGCTACCTTATTTTGTCTCTAGTTTACTAAATACATTACACATATTCCATCCTATCCCCAGTATTAGATTTGGTTTAAAACCTTATGCATCAGAAAGGTAACTTATGATGAAAGTTAGGAAATTTCAAATATGTCATATACTATATGTATAGAGGGTATGTAGGAGTTTATCTTTGATTTAATGATATGCCTAAAAATATCACCCATATAAAAGATAAATTAGAAAAAATGGTCTTTATTCTTTCACGGTATGTAAAAGTCCAACATTCTATAAGTTTGCTAAACATACTGCAAAACTCAAATTTTGTTTTCTGGTATAAAATTAATAAGGAATATACTTCCTAGGTGAAAGATTTTATAGTGCACTGTATCCTGTTTTGAGCAGTGTTTGCTGAAGGCAAGTGATACACAATATAGCTTTTCTACGAATCTTTTCCTACCTCATGCTTTAAAAAAAAAATTAAAGAAAATAAAACAGCGGCTGGGGATTTAGCTCAGCGGCATAAGCGCCTGCCTTGCAAGCAGGCAGTTGTGAGTTTGATCCCTGGTACCAATAAAAAGAAAGAAAACAAAACAAAACATAACAAAGCAAATTAGAACAGAGCAATGCAAGCGATACAGGACTTCACAACAAGACAACCGGAGGTCAATAGTGGCTACCATAATGCTTTTCTTCGAAACAGCTGTCCATACCATACACAATACAATCAAACAAAACACAATACAATCAACCAAAAGAAAATAGCAAAAACCAATCAAAACAAAATTATGAAAGCGTTACAGGACTTCAAAACAAGACAACAGGAAATCAATAATGGAAATGATAATGTCTCTTGTTCTCTTCAAAATAGTTGTCTATCCCCTCATACATATTAAAATTCCATAACTTTTTATAACTGTCAAAATTCTAATGCTTGTGGTGTTAGTCACTGCTAATTATAAAAATATTTATTAATTCTATACTGGCCCTGTGCTAGCTGCCGTAACAAACTTGGTTACCGCCCCCATGAGTTTACAGGTAATTGAGTAATAACATTAACGTATGATGGGGGGTTATGATAAAGAGATTACAGGGAACTTTGAGAACATACAGCAAGGGAACTTAACCTTTCATCAAGCTCACAGAAGGCACAGAATGCCTATCACAGAAAATACATTTAAGTTTAGATAGAAATCATGAGTAAAACTACGTCAAACAAACAAACAAATTGCAGAATGATTTAGGTAAAGAAAAGCAAGCAGAAAATCCCCAGTCAAAAGAATTCAGATTTATTCAATAAGTAAATAAAAAAAATAACAACAACAACCAACCCAGTGTGAACAGAAGACATCAAAAACAAGATAAGAGAACAAAGATGTAGTCCCTGTGTTTTAAGGAGATGCGGGGCACCGATGCACTGTCAGTAAGCGGGGCACCGATGCACTGTCAGTAGGACAGTGGCAGTGTTTAAGATTTAAAGTTTCAGAAAGTTGTGTTCACCCGGTGGGGCATGAACCGGGAGAGAACAGGAACCTGCACCACGGAAGGTGGTCACCCAGGCTGTCATGGAGGAAGTACGGGTGGAGAACAGCAGACTTTGTGAGGGGCTTGAGAAAGACAAGCCTGACACATTTCATAATGCAAAAGACAAGACAGTAAACAGGTTTCTCCTTTGGGCCGCCAAAGCAATGATGGGGTCATTCTGAGCCAGATCAAGAAGAAAATCTAAAATTCTGAAAAAAAATCCAAGAAGTCATTTTTATATTTTAAATTGTAGGTTCCAACAAGAAGTTTAAGTGAAAATGCACTGTGGGCAGTTTCAAATACAAATGTAGGAATCTGATTTTTTTTTTTTTTTTTTGTAAGTAAAAATTAGGCGTTAGTAACCAACTTCAGGCTGTCTGGTTGGTTGGTTGGTTCAGGTTTTGGTTTTGGAGGGTTTGTCTGAGCCCAGAGCCTCGCACATGGGAAGCACTCGCTTTCCCTCTGAACTGTACCCCAGTTTTCAGTTTTAGCGTGTGGCGGCTTGGTGACTTTTACCACAGCTCTCATGTATCACAGTTTCTATAGTAAAACAGTATGAATCAAGAGAGGAAAGCAAGTTGTTTTTATGCTCAACAAACTATTACATGGCTACAGAATCACTGACTCAGCAGTAAAATAACATCAAAATAATAGTAAAATTGCTCAAAGCAGAGGGGGGAACCGGGCGCTGTTAAAACACTCTGGTAGATAGGGTGGACTGCTTACCTACAGAGTAACATTGCCTTTTCCTGACCTCAGAGAAATGGCTTAGTCCCATGAAATGAGAGAGAAATAAATAGGAGGAAGCCAGACGGCTTGCCCACTGCAGACCGGTTTCGTGTACTTAACATTAATTTATTGAGCCAAACCCTTGTCCATTTTTGACTGTTGAGTACTTAATGCTTTAGGAATGGACACACTTTCAAATCTGCTCAACAGAACAAAAGGAAAAACACTGCAGACAGTTCTCCAAAATGTTCTTAACCACTGAAGAGTCGTACATGAAATTAGGGACATTCTGCCTTGGCTCCTGGCTGTTGCCAAATAAGGCTATTAATATAGCCGGACAGCAACCTTCTCAAGACCCCATGAAAGGAAGACCAAGAAATGAGATCAATGTGGGGAGGATGGTGGAGCAAAGAGACACAAATAAGTGAGGGCAGGAATGATACAACAGAAACAGAGATATAAACCCTCAGATCCCATGTTAGGAGAGCCAGCATATACTTTTGTAACCTTGTCCAATATTAAATTGAATTTCTGCTACTTGCAGGTAAAAAAATATTAATAATAAATGTCTCCTAAATTATTAAATGCTTCCATGTCAGTCAAGACCACTTGCTAGACTTTTAGAGATAATATTCCTTCTGCCATCTCTGAAAATATTAACTTCAAGTGTACAGTGAAAAGAGGAAAAGACGAAGCAGCCTTACCTGGATCCCAGCTCCCTCTGGCACTGTGATCTTCCACACACAGTTTAGATTGTTGTCATAAGGCTCAGGATAACCAGGTGACAAAATAGTCCCCTTGCGCTTAGTTAGAATTCCTCCACAGGGCACTGTGAGTCAAACAGGGCAAGAGAGGGAGTTAGTTCTAAGGCAAACGTTTGAAGTAAAATAAAAGATCAGAGATAAGTCTCGATCAGATAGTAGGTTTGCAAATAACATCAAATCATCCGTTTTCAAAACTCCAAAGAAAAATGAAAATTGAGACTTTCTTACAAGAACACTTTTAAAAAATAATTAGGTGGCATTAAAGGTTGAACTTACAGTAGCATATGTAGTGACACTTTCACACCGCCTTTGAAGAAGAATCACATTCTCTGAAGAGTAATAGTGACATGGTACTGATCATGTTAGAATCATAACCTTAAATAAAGCCTACTGTATGCCAGACATTGTCCTAAACACTCTATGTATATTAACATATTTATGCCTTGTAGTGGGTTAGTAACTGATGATCAACTTAAACACCAGCTGAACTGAGTCAGCCCAGTGCTGAGCATGGATGGTCCACCTGAGGACTGTTAACCAACATAAAAAGGAGACCTAGATTATTGGTTTTCCTATTCATTGTTATCCGGAGCTGTTGGTTCTCCTGGAGGATATTGTTGAGCTTCTTTCCTGATATGAACATGGCTGTTCTCATCGTCAGAGGGGCTTGGAACTCTGTTGCTGAGAGTGGCTGTGATTCACTTTGAGGGAGCTCTGGTCCTTACTGTGAGCACTGCTTCCTGGTTCTGGAGGTGAAGAGGTATGCTGTTCAATCTCCAGAAGTTTGTCCTTCTGGCTTCCTGACATGAACTAAGCTAATATTGTCAGAAAAACTCAGCACCTCATTGTTGCTGAGGATGGGTGTGGTGCTCTTTTAGGGGAGTCCTGGTCCTTGTTTTGAGCACCCTCAACCTACAGATCTTTCTCCTCACTGGCATAGACTTTCTAGCTTCCGCCACCTACCTTTACATCTTCCCAACACAAATCCATGAAACAGACTTAGAATCAGTGATTGTCATGGCTCTAGGCCTCCAGTTAAGACTTGTGGGAGACAATGTCATGGGCTCTAGATCTTGCAGTGGACTCATGTAGGACACTGTTGTGGGATGCAGGCCCTCGGCTAGATTTCACTGGGTCTTTAGTGTGTGGACAGTTTTCTTGCAATCTATTTGTATTTGACTCTGTGTGACTATCATAAATAATACTATGAATTATGTGTTCTGTATATGATTGTTCTTTTTGTAACCCCTGAGTACAACATGCCTTCCAATAGTCCAGTGAGATTTTAGTCATTTTTATCTACATTCATCACATGAAGAAACAGAATTATTAAGAAATTAAATGTCTTAGCTGGGTGTGGTAACATACATTGGTACCACCCGCTACCTTGGCTGAGACCAGAGGATCGAAAGTTTCAAGCCATCCTGGGCTACTTCAGCAACACTCGGTCCACCACTCACAAACATAAAAATAAAATAAAACACAACAGAGAAATGGGTTATGATGTAACTCAATAGCCACACCTTACCTACTAGGTGTGGAGTCTTAGGTTGTACCCCCAGTACCAAAAAAAAAAGAAGAAGAAGTAAGCAACTGTCTGGCCCAACTTCACAAAGTAGAAAACAGAGCTGGTATTCTAATTCTGGTAGTTTAGAGTCACAGGTGCCAATGGTATTGTTCTCATAGGGCATTGCCCTAACTCTACTTATAATGGAAGATGAAAGAATATCTTTTTAGTAATTGAAATTATACTTGCATGCCACTTTCAAAGCCAAATGCAAAACCAAAAAGCAATTACTCCAAAAGTATACTGAAAACTTTTTAATACTGTAATATTTTTTAAAGAAAGTTCTTTTGTTGTGTGTTTGTTATAAATCTGCCTTTCTGTTTTCTATGGCCTTAGCACCCTGAATGCATCTGATTTCATCTGATGGCACAAATTGTTAGTATATACAAACACAGTTGAAGTTACAAAAAAAATCAGCTATATTAAAAGTGCAAACACTGCTTTACTTGGTTTGAGAACAGCTTGCTAGAGGTCAAGGAATAACTATAAAGATTCAGCTCAAAAATACAAGAAAAAGGATGATTCATAACATGTTCACACTAAGACAGGTAAATGTGCTTTCTAGATATTCTCCCTCTCCATCCACCTCTACCTCCTTAATTTTTTTTCAACCAGGCTTTTGTTCTGATGGGTATATTGAAATGGCTAAAAAGTCACTCGAATATGACCAATCTACACGTGACTCTCTTTCCTTGGTTATCAAAACACTGCATTCTCCTGATTTTTTTTTTTTTTTTTTTTTTTTTTTTTTTTGTATGTCACTGGCCACGTGTGATTTTTGTTTCGTTTTGTTTTGGGGATTTTTGCTTAACTCATCTTACTTCTTTTGATTATATAAAAACTTACCAGTTCTGTGACTTGGCCCTAGAACATTTTCTCTTTGGAATCATCACCCCTCACCCATCACATTCATTTCTACATCTTCCCTGTACCCGCTATGACTTCTGCCTTCAATTATGTAATGTGTAAGAAGTATCTGAAAATGAATATTCCTCACTGTTGAAATCCTCCCCCATCCACTATTTCCTCCAGCTCAGTGCATGCTATTTCTTGTGCTTTTGGTACATAAAACTAAGACTCATCTGTTTTTACATTCAATTTCATATTTCAATCTACTTTCACACCAGCAGTTAACCCTGTCACTTTTCCTTAAAAGTGTATCGCAAAGATTGTCAATTCTTATGACCTGGATCATGATCTTCATTTCTAACTGACTATTACGTTTGCTCTGCATTGCTACAGTAAATTCCTAATCAGTCCTATTGCTTCTACTCTACTCCTTTTGTCCGGAGTATGTGATTTCTGGAAACTAATCAAGACCACATGACTTCTCCCTGCCAGTTAATACCTACCTTATTTAATTCAAACTGTTCATCACTTTCATGGTCAATGTGGCTTGATTTCTACTTTCTCTGTCTCAGTTCATCTCACACTGCTGTGTGATCACCGTTCCCTGTGTTCTCAATTCCTGCTTTGCTGTCAATGTCAGCATGTTTTCTCCCTCACAGTCCACACTCTTGCTTCCCATCTGGACCACTTATCCATTTATTTATTTAGTATCAGGAATTGAACTCATGACCTCAGGCTTGCCAACCAAATATTGTGCTGCTGAGCAAAATCCCCAGCCCATGTCTGGATTGCTATGCTCTTCTCCCTTGATACATTTCCTTCTGGTACAATTTAACACTATGATGTAAAATGTTTCCTCTTACCCCAGCACATGATTTACTTTCCTCTCTAATACCGCTACCTGAAAGGAGAGGATATATTTATTAGTGTGGTCTGTGTTCCTCTTAGCTATAGACTTCATCAATGCAAGAACTCGGATATTCCTATTTAAAAACAAGTAATCAGTGCTCATAATAGTGTCTGGCAATTAGTAATATGCAATAAATGATTATCTTGGAAGAGCAATAAATCGTGGAAGAGCAGAGTATACATCTGGATTTATCTTGGGCTTATAACTATCTATCTAGGGGCTGGGGATTTAGCTCAGCGGCATAAGTGCCTGCCTTGCAAGCAGGCAGTTGTGAGTTCAATCCCCGGTACCGATAATAAGGAAAAAGACCAAAAAAGAAAAAAAAAAAAAAAAAAAAAATCTAATCTACTTATTAGTAGCAACATTTCTATGCCTACAATTTTCCTAAAGTAGTCATAATGTTACAGGCAGCTGAGCTAATTAGAAATACTATAAGCAGTGAGTCAGGGCTAGGTCCTCAAAGGAGCCAATGCAGCCCAGGTACCTGCAACTATGGGGGAGACAAACACCTCCTGCTGTGGGCCAGGCCTCAAGGAAAAAGATCAAACAAATCCATCAGTATCCTAAGTACTGATAATTCTAAATATTTCCCTGTCACCCTGAGGAACTCTAGAGTCACCATTCCAACCTCCTAGGGGTCACTGCTCGCTAAGAATGTCCACTTTCTGAGACTCACTTTCCCATTTGTCCCCAAATTAATCAATTTTATCTGAATTGTTACTATTATTGGTTAACTATAGTTCTATCCCACTTAGGCCCATCTGTCTTGTGAGTTTGCAGTTTTCTCCAAGTTAATCCCATCTCACCCTATGATTTACTCTATAAAAGTTCCTAAACAAGACAGAGTCCTTGGCAATCTGCTTGAGACCCTTTCTGTCTCTCACAGACAGAAGCTTTTTTTCTCTCAATAAATATATTCTAGTCTTAACCTCTGTTGTTCCTAAAATTCACTCTTCAGTTTTAGAGAACATGAACTTATGCCTGACTTAGTAGGTTGAGAGTTTCATTCCCCTATACCAATAATTGTCAAATTCTATTTCAATCATTTTCAATTTTTAACCGAAAAAGAAAATAACCATAAAAAACTTTCAGAAAAGAATTATTGTATAATGTTTTAAATTTTCACTTCCCACGTATATGACTTAACCTAACATATGCATCCTATTTTTAAAAGATACAGTGTATGATATATTTTCTCTTCTCATCTACTACACAATAGCACATATGGAATAAGAGAACAAGTTTTAGAACCAAGTAGCCTGAGTTCAAATCTTAATTCAACTTTTGTTTCTAAACTATGGCAACTTGCACTCTCTGTAAAAGAAAGTCTTTTTCTACCTCCTAGAGATGATGTCAATATTAAGTTATATAATGCTTAATAGCAGTTCCTCTAAATGTTAATAGTTGCTATTTATTAGTAACTTTTTCTTGCTTGAATAGATGACTAAAGACATGAAAACCAATGAATGAGAATTGAGATCCTATATATATATTTCTTCATCCATTTCCTTCCCACTCTAAGAAAAGAAAAAAATAGATAGGTATTGCCATGGAGACACTCCAAGTAAAAGTTATTTTTCTGAGTTTGGGAAGAACTTGGAAACACAGAACCAGAGAAAGATGATAGGGATAAGCAGCTAATTAAAGAGGTTTTGCCTAAGGGGTGTAGGTGCAGGTTTCAGGGGCTTTTCAAAGGGACCTCCCACCAACAGAAGTGCTTGTGCCTGAGGCCATGCATT